AGTGGCAGTGTCTCTCAGATCTTTGCGACTTAAAACTCTGAGAAGCAATGCAACTGTCAAGGAGAGGCGTGTTGCTCGCCACCGGGAGTATGACTTGTTCGTCCTGTTCACTTGATATTATAAAAAATTTAAAAATTGTAACGTAAGTTTATTGAGAATGCATTTTTTTAAGACTGTGCGTCCTCTTGAAAAGGAAAAAGGAAACTATGTTTCAAAGATGTGCTTAAAACACAAAAGCGATCCTAATTGAATTCGTTTGACGCCACTAAACCCTTGATCCTTTTTGTTTAAATGTACGTGCGGAGAGTATTTACATAATGTCCCTATTACAATTGAATTTACCTAAAATTTAAAAACATTAAAAAGGTTCTAGTCTCCTCTTAGGAAAAGGTTTAGGCTATAGACAGCCATAGTCGTATGCGGGATGGAGATTTCAAACGTTTTCCAAGGGTTAGGAACCTTCTCCGATATACAGGTTATCTACATCACAATGTTTTCCTTCAACTTGATCAACAATACCAAAATAAAATACCACCTAAGTAATAAAACTGCCTTCGCCTTAACACATAATAATAAATTTATCAGCCGGTGAATTGTTAGTTTACTTTGTATATTTATTTCCATTAAGAGAAATGTAAATTACTTATCATTATTGTATTTGGCTAGATCGTAATGTATTTATAAATTACTTTACTTGTATCTAATAAATAAATGAAAAAAGAAAATGTTTTCCTTCACCGTTAACTTTAGTTAGTTTTTCGTTGTATCGCTACTAAACATTCACAAATGTACGTAACTTATGGTGCTTTTCCACCGGCGAGGCGAGGCGAGGATTGAAATTTGTATGGCTTTATTTCAATAATTGTCTCCTAGTGCATCTTCGGTGGAAATAGTCTGGATTGACGAGGTTGGGCGAAGCGAGAATTGAAATATTTGTTGATGTAATATTGCACCATATTGTTGCCTATATAGAGTCTTATTATGAGATACGTACGATTCGCTTTTAAAGAAAGATGGATTCATCTGATTCTTCTTCCATTAAAATATTTGATAATAATAATTTACGGGACATATTACTGCTACTGTACGCGTGATTATCGCTATTGTATCTTCTATTATATCTACAGTAACACGTGCTAGCTCGCGCAAGTTCGCGGACAGTAGCGATGCGCGAGCTATTATTGGCATTTTATAGTGGAAATACGTCGGCGAGATTTCAATTATCACGTCGCCTCGTCTCGTATCGTGTCGCCTCGCCGATGGAAAATCACTTTTAATTATGTATTCACACGGATACAAACCGTCGACCTTACAATTAAGAATCAACTTTTGTACCGTAGGGCTGGCCACTTGCGCTCTGAAATTTTAATATAATTGATTAATAGAAAATAAAACTAGTTTTCGAATATAGGTCACGTATATCTGTTTTTATTTTTCAAACAAAGCAACGTTTAGGGCGCTTTACAGGTTCCGTGGTCACGGGGACTGGGTAACTCCAGATTATCCTTGAAACCGTCTGAGTCAGAAGTGAATAGAAGAAATATATCGACAGTGAACTGGCAACCGGCACTATCTCAATTTTGACAACTTTACAGAATTAAGAAAAAATCAATTATATAGTATTTGGTTTATTAAATAAAAATACGTAGATGTGTAATAAAAATATTTAAAAACTACGTATTTTTATTTAATAAACCAGTTGATATATAAAGACGCAAACAATTTCTTTCTTCATGCTGTAAAGTTGTCAAAATTGAGATAGTACCGACTGCCAGTTCACAGTCTATATGTGATTTGGATCCGTAAAATAGTGTAATTTCCGATGTGTAACAATCGCAAAAACCTAGGAACTCTATATTTGTAAAGCTGGTTAAATGAGCAGAAGGGTGTAGATGTTTTACTTAGATTCATGAATCTTACAAATAATGTCACGTAATTGAATATCCGCAAAGGAATCAGAGTAACCGACACAGCCCAAAGAATATCAAAACTTAAGTGACACATTGCTCGCAGACCAGATAGCCGACGGGGCCAAAATTCTCGAGTGGCGTCGATTACCTACTGGAAGACGCATCATGGCCAGAAGAGGTGGATCGTTGACTAGGTAAATCCGCTGGAAGCAAGAAGCGCAAGACTGATCGCTAGGGTATCTTTGGCATGGGCATACCCAGCAGTGGACGTCTCTTACCTGTATACTGCCTCCTTGGCCGAACGGTTACCATGCCGGACTGCCACGCAGATGTCCCAGGTGTGTATAGATGGCATGGCGACACAGGGTTTCCCTAGGCTATGTTGAGTGTGTGCGTTATTATTTATTATTATCTGAAATAATGAGTGTGAAATGAAGATTTGGTAGTTATATTTGCTCTACATATTAACTGGTTTTTCGTTATTTTTAATCTTTACCTGATTTTGTAAATACACATACTCATTTAAATCTTTCTTAAAATTATTATGTAAATATGATTCATGATGATAATAAAAAAAGTATTATGTGATAAATAAGTTTCTTTAGCCACTCTGAGCTTGAAATCGCAAAGGCATGATGCGCACTGGCACTGCGCTTGTCACCTACAGATAAGTCGACAAGTTCCATGTGCCTGTAATTTCACTAAAATTAAAGTAATTTAGGAAATTAAAGTAATAAGCCACCGCAGGGATATGAACCATCGACCGCTCAATTGAGAAGCAACCTTTCGCACACTGAGTTACAAGTTCGTTGATTACAACAATTTTTTTTTTTCAGGAAACAGAAATATCTCTACAGCATTTCATTTTAAAGCTATTACTAATTCGTGAATTGACTTTGATTTAAACGTTATTGGGCTAAAACGTTCAATCAAGGTCCTATCAGCAATTCTACGATTGCTATTAGATTATATTGGGGAAGATTGAGGAGTCAAATCAGTTTAAATCATAAAATATGCTTTTTTGGTTAGGTTCTTATTTCAATAAAGATATTCCTACAGTTCTTGACAATTAAGCAGTCTAATAATGGTCAAATTAAATTTGTATTAAATTGATATCCATATATTTTGTGTGAAATTATACCACTAGTTTGTTACAATTATTTAATACAAAGATCGAGCCGACGTCTGCTAGCAAGCCGTGGCAGACGCTATGCCAAGTAAGCCACGGAAGGAACCAGCGGACGGACCTTGCGAATTTTTCTATGTTCTTGTTTGTCGGACCTTAGTATTTAGTTTTCAACGACTTTTTAGCCGTAGCGCCATCTTTGAGAAATCTTTGAAAGTATTTCGTCACCCAGTTAGGTAACTTTACAGCTACCAGCTCTGGCTTGAGGTGTCGTTATTAACTGTAATTAATTAAGTCGTTGAAAACCAAATACAAAGATCCGACAAACAAGAACATATAAAAAGAAATTGTCATGTCCCTCCGCTGGTTCGATCCGTGGCTTAGTTGGCATAGCGTCTGACACGGTTTGCTAGAAAATAGTCAAATTGTTTGTATACACAAATATATAGATAAAGGACACATATTTATCTTTAGGGGTCTACGTATGTATTCAGCTGAATTATATTATCTTATACCTACTGTTTTCTTAGGTGTACCTACACTTTCAGTAATTGAATAACAAATTTTCATAAGCATAAAATAAATATGCATAATTGAAATATCAT